CACACACAATACAGTCGAATTGAGAACCTCCTTCTTTTTTATAGTCGGTTGAAAATGATAAAGAAAGTTGAACTAAAATAATCAGTAACACAGTAACAAATGGCAGCTACGTTCATTACTAAGTTAGTAACGTTAAGTAACGTTTTAGTGAATACTTAATTAGCCTTTGCAATGCGTACAATATTTTAATTATTAGGGTTACGTTTGTCTACAATCGTATTTGGTTGGAAATAATAATTTCTACGTCAGCTAAGAAGCTGCAAAGAGTAACCGGTTATCTGCAAAATCACGATTTTTTTTTCACGATTTTCCCTGTGTTTCAGGCTTAAGAATATACAGCCTCAAATGGCCTTGGTTGATTCCGCAAAACAGTGAAACTGTTGAATCAATCACTTTGGCAAAAATGTGCATTAAAATTGAGGATATGCACTAATTACTATACAATGTGAAAACACGATTCCTAAAAATATTTACGATAGAAAAAAACACAAACTTACTTCGAAATTTTACAACAAACCTGGCGTATTCAATAGGTACTTTACCAATTTTTTTTCTAAACTAATAAGTACATGATATACATATTTCAAATGGTCTTAATTTCGTTTGTAAAAAAATAAATTCTGAAATAAAGCCGGTGTCCCTGCCTCTCGAAAATGAACCGTATCAGAACGGAAAAAGTTTGAATTCGAGCTGAGATCTACTCTTAATTTCTGTTGCTGTTGAAATAAAAAAATATTTATTTTTTCCGTTTCTTTAATAATGAATTTCACATAATATTACAGGAACAAAGCACTTTTCTGATACAAAACAATTATTGGACTAGCCTCCCTCAACGTACCAATACATACATATACAAAGTCTAAACAATCTAAAGACTTTATGGTCTGTGCGCCATAAAAAGCAAAATATTTAAATTAATTAACCACATTATTGTTGTTTTTTTGAAGTTAACAAAATTGGCATCAACTTTTTTGATTGATATAAAATTTAGGAGAACTCATAAGTTCTTTAGATTGAATAAAGCTATCCGCTTCTACCAAGGCCATAACCTAAAATGCACCTACGTAAAGAACAAAAGGTGTTGCGAGGACCTTAATGTACGTATAGACAATTAATTTTTAATTTATTGTTTAAAAATTCTAGGCTGATTGCCTTACGACTCCACCTAGCGTTAATCTATGGCCTGTAATTTGAGATTGTGTAATTAGAATTGATGAAATGACGTTTTGACTTTTAGGTTGTCAAATTTGAAATTTTGTTGCAATACGGCTTACCTATTACTGTTCCTCGCGTCTCATTACTTTGATATAATCTTATTTGTTCTATAGATACAATACGGCGTTTTCTGCCAGCCTGAAATAATATCGCTTTACTTCTGTTTTAGTTGTCTCATAAGTTATTTGTTTTTCCAGTTTGATTGTTTTCCTTATTCTATTGAATACCCAAACTTTCTCCTTTGCGTCTTTTCTATACTAGTCCAATAGTTTAAAATGATTTTTGGTTATATTATATTTTTGTTTAATCGTATTTAGTGCTTGGAAGTTTAATTGCGTTTTATTGGCCAATAATAAACAAAAGTCTATTCGTTTTTCTTTTTGCTGTAGGAATATTTTTTTTTTGCTGTAAGAGCGTTTTTGAGAGTTTTTCATTAAAGTTTTTCATTAAGTTGCTCACTCATGGTATTTAACTTTATGCAAAATTATTGAATTTCAATAATAGCTAACTTTTCCGACGACATCACAAAATATTTCCTATTTTCAAAAAGGAACTTTCTTTTTCTTTTTCTTTTTCTTTTTTGTTGTTTTATGTTGCTTACTCTTGCAGTTACAGACTCTTTGTTCATACCACGCGTAACACATGAATACCTAATTAAAATCATAACGTCTTCTCTTTATGTTTGTACCACCTTCAAACAATTTAACAATTTTGCGCAACCAAACTTCAAAGTATGCAACAAATTATTGATGATTATTTTCATATACAGCAGCTGGAGCTACATAAGCTTGTGGCTGTTCCTGTTGATAACCTTCATCTTGTCGATGTTGGTAGTCTTGACCTTGTTGATTTAATTGTAAATATTGTTGACTATCTTCTTGCGGAGATTGGTACTGAACTTCATACTGCTGGTTTTGGTGATGGACAGCTTGAATTTGTTGTTGATCAACTTGGGTTTGGTGATAAACTTGAGGCTGATTCTCCTGTGGCCGGTATTTACCTGGAAGTAAATGAACGAAATAGAGATTTTAAATAATTTATTTAAACCGTGATATAGTTATATAGATGTAGTCCTTTTTGAATTGCATGATCTTAATGTTTATATTATTATTCATTTATTAGCAGTAGAGCTCGTTGAGAAAGAGTTCATCCAGGGAAGTACTTCCACTTTACCTATTTCAGCCGCCAAGAAGTAATGTTAGCATTAAACGTTCCGGTTTTGAAAAGTAAGGGTGCTGGTGAAAATACAGGCACATAGGACTTGTCAACTTATGCCTCATGGTGACGGGCGCAGTGGCAGTGCCCCTCAGATATTATTCTTGCATTTAAAGCTCTGATTGGCACTGCAACTGTTATAGCCTGTCGTGTAATTCTATATATATAATAATAATAATAATAATAAATTTCTTTATTTCGGACTAAGTCCATGAGGGTTAGTAACCAAACACTTAAAAATAGGGTTAGTATTACAAATTGCTTATTTTACAATTTATTATTATAGGCCACAAAACCAATGTGCATCCTAGACCAGTGATCTAGGAAGCAACCCTGTACACGGTTTGCAATTATACTCAGGAGGCTGTTATCGCCGCCCCGAATCCTGCGCAACGAAGAAGCCGCCCTTTTTCGCATGATAGCTGAAAAGCCATCTAAGCGAGTCACGGCGAACATTCCCGATGCACTGCAAAATCGAGGCAGCTTCAACAGCATCCTGAATAATCCTGTATATGTATATATATATATATATATATATATATATATATATATATATATATAT